TTTAAGGTGGAATCTACAGGATTTGGTAACAGACGGGATATGAGGCTCAAAGGTGAAGCCAGGATCAAGTCTAATGCCAAGACATCGCGCTTGCAAGGATGGACTGATGTGGGTACCGCTCGAATGAAGGGAAAGCGAAGAGAGGAGGATCAGTATTAGAAGGAGGAAAGACAAGGAGCTCAGTTTTACATAGATTGAATTTTAGAAAGCGGGAGGACATCCAGTCAGACATGGAAGAAAGGCAAGCAGTGACACGTTGCAGGAGGGCAGGGGAGAGGTCCAGGGAGCAGAGATATATCTGGGTATCATCGGCATACAGGTAGTAGTGGAATCCATATGAGGTAATAAGTTTGTCAAGAAAAGCAGTATAAAGAGAAAATAGAAGGAGACCAAGGACAAAACCTTGGGAGACTCCAACCGAGACAGGACAAAGAGAGTAGGTATCATTAGAAAAGGGGACATTAAATGAGCATTGGGAGAGATAAGAGTCTCTGACTCTGCCTGAAGACAAAGCAACTGCAGGCATGCTCTGTATTTGCTGTGAATGAGAGATATTGATGTAGGAAGGTATGAGAGTGATGAAGGAATGAGGATGGGTGTTACACTATGTTATATTATTATTATTGCGATTTATATAGCGCCAACAGATTCCGTAGCGCTATACATTCATACTACCAACAAGCATTTTATCCAGCTCCCCACCATTCCAATCACAACGCACGCAGTGTATCAAAATACTAACAAATTATTAAGACCATGTTTAATCTTGGCATCTGTCTGACTTCGACCACTATGGTTATCACACCATCAGCACACATGCATTGTCAGGACTGTTGCAGAGGCACCCCAAATGGATTGGACAGACTTTCCACTATTTTGTGATTTATTATAGTCTTTAGTAAACAGATGAAAAGTCAGATAGAAACAAGACATGGCACATATATATATATATATATATGTTACCAACAAACGCGTGGAAAAGAAAATAACCATCTACTATAGCAGAGAACGTTCATTAGTATTACTGCACTGCAGATCGGTTTGAAGTTCCCATAACAATCATATTAAAATTGGTATAAAAATAAATAAATAAAATGTAGTTGTGGGTTACTTAGTAACCGCTAACATCTGAAAACTCTAACTGTGCACGTAAAGGAATAAAACTGATTTGTAAAGGCTTGAACCACAGGCACTGCTCCAAAGCAGGGTACCATAGCCCACTGTGGGGGCCTTCCTCCCACTAACTAGTCATTTTTTCCATTGCGCAGTAAAAAGTAGGGGGAGATGCAGCAATTTCAGCCTGCTGTGTCCCTTTAAAATGGGACAATATAGTCATCAGAACTGTTACAGTTTAATGTATATCGTTTGCATTTCCCATTAGTTCTAATTTCCTGTATTTCCTCTTTGGCGAGATTGGGTTGCATTGGTGTATATTTCACTGAGCATAACAATGTTATACCTACAGCTATAAAAACATTTTTTTTTATTAGGATTTCAAGTATTTCAAAAAAAGATACTTGGGGAAAAAAAAAAAAGAGTTATAGTTTTTCTCCCCTTTTCAAGTCTGATCCTTGTTCTGGTTTTGGTGTGTTTTGGGGAGCACATATGGTAACTTTAATGTGGTAACTTTAATGGTAGCTTATGGTAGCTTTAATGTGCTAAACTGGCTCTTTTTGAAGGTGCTTTGACTTTGCTTACATTTTCTTTTACTTTGATATCAGGCACATATACACACTTATAGTTTAACTACAAGAGAATGGATTGAGAGATCAAATGCTCTGCATTAAAGATCAAAATTAAAACTTATAGTTTGTGGAAAAAAGGATAAAACACTAAGTAATTTACATGCGGTATGGTGGACATCGACTGGTTACTAACAGGATTATTTACTAAGGTAAGAATGCAAACTTTAAGGCCAGAGCAGCTAGACTTTCTCCAGTTGAGCTATTTTGACCTCTTATTTTAAATTCACCTTAAATTCTCACGTTAATAAATTACTCTGTCGGAGTTCTAGGAACAAGTTTTCTGCAGTTTCTAATACATAAAGTATGACCAAACTTCAATTTCTGCTACTTTTGGGAGTAATTCAAGTAAGCTTAAGTATACTGGACTACTGTTTTTAAATGGAATCTTAATGTTATGTTACTGTTTGGAAAATCCTTAAATTATCCCTCACTTTATCGAGCAACAGGGTGTAAGGTATATAAAAGCTTTTCAATGTGATTTTCAGGATCAAATTGCTGATCTTAATGTGCATCAGTAAAACATGGGTAAAGGCAGTCTTTTAAAGGACCACTATAGTGCCAGGAAAACATACTCGTTTTCCTGACTTTATAGGGTCTCTAGGAAGGATCTCTAACAGCCATCTGAGGAGTGGCCAGTGAAGTTATCACTAGGCTGTAATGTAAACACTGCATTTTCTCTGAAAAGACCGTGTTTACAGCAAAAAGCCTGAAGGGAATGATCATACTCACCAGAACAAATTCAATAAGCTGTAGTTGTTCTGGTGACTATAGTGTCCCTTTAAACACTTTATTAAAAAGACTATATATACAAAACTATAACCTGTTTGTGTTTTGAGGTGTACAAAAGAGCAAACACAGCAAAACATGGGAGGGTGTAAGAACAATGTAAACTATTTGGTGTAAGATACCTAGTGCTGAATTGGCTGAATTGACCAATTTCAGAGACTCATCTCGTCTTTGGTGGCCCAGCTGTAACCAACGTATCAAGTAATGAGACTGTAACATGCTTGAATCAATGGCAGTGCTCTATCAAAGAGACTTACAAAAATAAGACTGAGCAAAGAAAAGGACGGGAGCAGTTGGATTTTTAACAAAAAAAAAACCACATGTGAACGTGGAATCATTAAAGCAGAATGTTTAATATTAGAATTAAATAAACTAAAGCGAATCACTGATATCATTCTTACTAGGAGAGGAGAGAACACAGGCACACAACAGCTATTAAACATCAAAAGATGCTTTGATTGTGCATCACACAAAGGCTTAATTAGGATAAGAAATGGGATACTACAGGAAATGTACAATATATTGGAAAATCTGCCAAGCCTTATAGCGTGCACAGTCAACCATCTCAGTACTCCATTCCTTTGGAGAAACAGCCATTGGAGTCAATGACAGCAGGCAACAACTACAAGGTCTCCAGATGCTGCCCAAATGTTTAATACAAGCTTAAAAACGACTAAAATAACAAAATACTGTGTATCAAATGGAATCAGCCATTTAAACTTTAAAGTTCTTAAAGCTACAGTAATTGCGATCGAAATGGGCTTGGTGAATTGTTATATATTACAAAAACAAAATCCAACTTTAAATATGAAAAATGAATTAAACTGCTATTTTTTATTACACATTTTAGCTGTAATCTACCAAGTCATACAGCCCCAGTCAAACATGAAACAACTCGTAGCAATCTGAACAATTCCGTTAAACGGTTTGGGATTTAATATCAATTCTATGCAAAAAAAATATGTCTGTCATCACTGCTGCGCACTTGACGCTGATGAGAGGGGTGTTCAGATACTTCCCTTCCTCCATTCATGCAATCCCTCCCTCCGTTTTTTTATTTCTTTGTCGCATAATGGCAGCCCATCCTCCCGGTCCACCTTTCCAATCCCTACCTGTCATCACTGACGCATTTGCTCAGAGCCAGTGAGTCTGGACCAATCAAATGTTTCTCTTAGAGAAGTTTTTGATTAGCGCATTCAAGAGAGCCTGTCACATCAGACAGAGGCATGGAGGAAGCTTCGCCCGCAGCTGGATTGTAGAGAAGTTTAACTCTTTCTTTGATGATTTTTAAGGGTGAGGGAAGGGGTGAAACCTCATGAGTAATGCGTTATAGAGCATCATACATTGAAATAAAAGATTTCTAATAAAGGGTCAAAGTAACGCTTTAAGCTCATAAAATAAAAAAGTATATATCTGTCAGCTTTAGTTTTGTAGTAGTTACATTCATAATCCATGAACCATGTAAATGCCCTTTATAAAACAACGTGCTAGGGGGTTAAAAAGTATTTGGACAGTTGGCTGCTTAGCTGATTTTTGGCCAAGCCTATGTTTTTACATTGTTAGCTCATACAAAAGAAAGCCAAAATTAAATTGATTCCAGCTGTGAGATTTTACAATGAGAGTTTTTTTTTTGTCTATCAACATGAGAGGCAAAGAAAAGTCAGTGGTGCCAATAAAACGTAGACAGTAAAATTGCAAAAAAATAAACAAAAGATTGATCCAAGAAATTGGCAAAGCATTAGTTATATCAAAATCAACAGTGTGATACATTGTTTAACAGCAATAATACACGGATAAGTTCAGTAATAGCAGATACGTTAGCAGATCGCTGAAGTGTACGACCAAAGAACACTTGCAACTGTGTAGAAAAAAAACAAACAAAAACCTTTCAAATACTGAACAGAGCAATAGCACACTCTATGATATAGGCATGAAAGTATAAAATATATTTTGTGAAGATGTAACGAAGCCTTTGAAGGTTTAACACAAACCTCAGGAACAGAATGGTCACATTGCAAAAATTTACAAAAATCTGTTTACGGCGTGGAATAAGTTCTGCAGTCTTATGGACAGTATATGGATAATATTAATTTAAAACACAGAAAAATCTGAATGTCAGCTCTCCATGTACAAGTAAGGAAGTATTAAGACACTCTGTTAATTTGTTAAAGACCTCAGCTTCTCCACTGACATCGGAAACATGTAACAACTGTAGTGGTTATGGTGCCGGGAGTGCAAGTAGTCAATCTGTTTTAGAACAGTTTGATTTTTTTTACCTGTCTCCACAGCAGCTGGCAGTGCCTGGCTTTGCTAATTGGCTGAGAGCAATCAGCTGACGCTGAGGTAGCTAAAGGACCCTCCTATCAGTTTCCAGCTCTCCTGAAGGCTACATAGAGGTGGGGAACATCCCCAGAAGAGCCCAATTATTAAGTCAAACAGTTCTAAAACATTTTTGCTACTTACAATTGGAACGGGGCCATCGGCACCATAACCACTACAAAACACTGTAGTGGTTATGGTGTCCGGGGTGTTCCATTAAATGTGCAATTTCCTAGTGAATTCCAGACCCAATTCAAAGTAAATTTCCAATTTTAGGTCCAAAGTGCAAAAACTGAGAAATTCTCCATTCACCAGCTATGTTATCAATTTGGCTATTCTGACCAAATATTTGAAGTTTTGACATATTGCCAATTCACACTATAGCGAATACCTCTCTAGATGACTCTGGAGAAGTAGCTCAGTTTTTCTAGAGATCCATATTATATTATATTTTTTTTTATATTTACGGCCCATTTTTCAGTTGCAAAATTGTTTTACTGATATATTTGTTGTGAGGATCCATAGTATTCTCAATGGAAGCATGCTATTCCGTAGTAAAAGAAGGTCAAGGACTCACTTTCCAGCATTAAGGGGTCTCCATTGTCATAAATAGACGAGTAATCATTTCTTCACTGTGCTGTTGTACATGTCATTTTTTCCTGTATTGCTGTATTTTTTCATTTTCTATTGTATTGCTGTATGGTGCATTTTATTGGGAGAATCACGGTCAGATCTGAGAACATCTTCTGTGAATTGCTTGTGTAATAAGTAAAATATAGATATAATGCTTTGTTGTACAGAATGAATTGCACTTACACGCTGAAGGTTAACATCTGAATCCAATACAATGCTCAGCCTTGGCATTTACCAGTGTTTGCTATGTAATTATAGAAATGTTTTCTTCATACTTTGCTACAGATACTCTTGCTGACATTGCTATGTTATTACATTATCCCTTTTTTTTAAAAAAACAAAAATAATTTCATTACTGTTATTTTTTTGTGTGTTTTTCCCCAAATAGAACATAGAAACATTATAAATGTCACCACTAACATGCCGCAGATCAATAATGATATCATGTAAAAGGCCGACTAGAAGTGCAGCTAAATGACAAAAACTAAACTAAAAAATAAAATAGTGGAACATAGATGGGGAGGGGGACACTTGCCCCAGTCAAGTGAGGATAACATCTACACTCTTCCAAGTGTCCTGATGGGCCTGCACCAAAGTAGGTCCTTCATCTCTCGATATTTAACATACACTCTAGTTAATATATTGCTCACATTTTTTTTATAGGTTTGGAAATAGAATTATTAGTCAATAAATACGCATAAATGTATGTGCATGTGTCATGCACAAAAAAATAACATTTTCCCCCTTTTTGTATTGGGAAAATTTAGATACAGAAACTGTTCCATTCTATGTTCCATGTTTGTTGGTTTTAATTGGCCTCCAAACATTTGTGTGAGCAGAAATGACAGACACATTATACTAAGTTTGGTAAAACACCATGGGAGATGCAGTTCTAGAATAGTTTTGGGGGTCTACCCCAATCTTCCCCAAACTCTGGCCCTCCAGATGTTGATGAACTACAATTACCATGATTCTATGAATGAAATAGATAGGCTGAGAATCATGGGAGTTGTAGTTCAGCAACATCTGGAGGGCTGGCGTTTGGGGAAGCCTCTACCCTTTTGTCCTCCTTTGCATTAAACCATTGCACAAAAAGGCAAGATCACAACACAACAGCTGCCTTCCATGACCACAGAAAATATGAGAAATATGTCTATTTGCCTCCCATGATTCCAGATGAAGAAATATAAGATGACTATTCCTTTAAAATATATAATATAAAATGCTAATACCTAGAGAAATGTAACTTCAAATAAACTTATGTTTTCTGACAAATGAGATGACGAATGCTCTTGGTTCCTCATGCAAACTCTCACAGTCTTGCTTTATAAACATTCCTTACACTTTTTTACTTAGCACACTTCAAAATGGATTTGGACAGACAATGAATGACTGGTCGCTAATTAAAGAAAACACACAGGGCGTGTGGAAGTGCTTTAAAACTGGGGGTCATGGTTGAATAGGGACCCCAGATAATGGAAGATCGGTCTCTCAGGAAGCCCTATGGGTGGGGAACCAATCCTTCCTTATTCGTAAAATAGATCTGCAAACATAATCAGCAGTAATATGGCACTTGGGTGTCATATTATCATAACATAGACATAATTAAAAACTCCCTACTGGTTTAGATGTCAGGGGAGGCAAGAAAAAAACACTTTGTTTCAATGGTTACCATCCAGCGCAAACATAACTCTATATTACACAATATATCCAATCCTGAAAGGGGAACCTCTCTACACTGAGAGCAGTGGAGATATATAAAACATGGCTCTTTAAAGATTTTAGCGATAGTGCACAGCCTTCAAACCTTTATGACGTAAATTGACAAAATGTATATACACATGTTCAAATCAATATATTTTAGGTTTGATCATTTCCTTACTTCAATGTAGTACACAAACGTCTAATAAAAAAGGGCACATTCAGGTCTTCAATGTTTTTTTGTAATTTTTCCCCTCCAATGCATAAAATGTTTCAGTATTCAGTAACTATTTTACCCCATTCCCAAAATGAGATGTATTTCAATAAAGTAAAGATGTTGACACTGTAGTTCTGTAAGCAGAGTATCTATCAGTCTCCTAATAGAACCAGTTTAATGTCTAACCATAGGTAGCACTGGGTGGGGGCTCTATAATAAGAATGTTTAGTATATCTACATAGACACATTCTTGAAACATTTAAGGAGCTTAAATGTGAGCTGGGATTTTTAGGCGTTCTTCTTTAGTTCATATATGTCGTTGCTGACATTTCAATGTAGTCGTCTACCCAGCTGAATTAATGATTAGATTGCAAGCTTACGAGAGCAGGGCCTGCTTCACCTCGTCTCTGTTAATATTTTGTATGTCAATTACTTGTTTTCAAATATCTCCATTTTACAATTGTAAAGTGCTGCAGAATACATTGGCGCGGTATTAATGCTATTAATAATAATAGTGCAATTACTACTAATAATCTCGGGCAGAATCGGTGCTCTGGTGCAGACCCGGTATTGAAGAAGCCCCAACACACACAAAAAGGTTGAGTGGTTTATGAATATCTTTAGAGCCCTGAGTTGGCATTATTTTATTATTATTATTTTTTATCAATAAATGCTCCACTGTTATGTACCTTTCATACTATATGATTTAGGGATAGTGGTTGTGTGGTTTTCATTAATTTTAGGGACAGCACTAAAACACACACAACCTGGTCTGCCTGAGATTAGTGGGAGTTAATGACTTCGTCTCAAGTTTATTTCTTGGTTGTGCTGGAATTTCAAAGAAATTAAAATTCAGCCAATATATGTCTCTCCATTAATAATTGTTCTTGCCCTATCTTGAATCTGACAGTTGTGCTCTAAATCGAGATTATAGAAATGTAGTCTTCTGCATATTCCAATCTTTACCACAAGTTGACCAAAACAAGTAAATCTGACTTGTACACCTGCAAAGAAACAAGGCTGTCCAGACACAGTGACCTGTTTGTTGGCTGAGGCCTAGTGTTCAACAATACTTATTCAAAACATCATGCAGCAATGTAACCACATACATTTATTCCCTATACCGGGAGATGTGCAGAACTGAAAATTAAGCATTGTGTAGACAACATTTCAGTATTAGCGAATGAAAAAAAATTAAAATAAAATAAAATCGACCAAGTTTCCAATGTGTTTTTTTTTTTGGCTTCTATTTAAAAAAATCTGATTTCAGATGTTTAGTGAATAAACCACATTATTTTACATTAAGAAATAAATCAAATAAATCAAATTCTAGGTAAACACTTGTGTCAACTCTAGATCAATAAAACTATTTAACAAAAGGACAGTGAGTGCTTGTTTTTTTTGTGACGGAGTCTGGTTTAATAATATTGTAGCACTGATCATTTCTATTGCAGAAATAAGCAAGAGAGCAGAAAGATTGTATGATTGCAGAGCGATGCGTTTTAAAACATTTCATTTGCTGACAAATCAAAGCAGGAGACAAAGTGATGTGTTTCTGTACGGCATTAATATATTTGGCTTCAAAACAAAGTTTAAGATTCTTTTCATTTCTATACGCACGACCAGATTTCAAAAATTATGTAACCCCTCATGTGTGTCTTGCTCCCACATCTTCCAAAGGTAATATGAAAGGCAGCACATCTGCAGTATAGCATGAAGAATGTATACTATGCTGGCACACCTGATTTTACCCAGAGCTTTCTTTGCTACTGCATTCAATATCGGATCATTTCTGTTTACAGTGTGTTTGTGCTAGATTCCAGCCGGAATTAGCAAAAAAGAACTCACCGCGGTCTCCGGAATGCCAGACCGTACTGTTGACAAGCTAGGCCCACTGTAGGCGTATATACAATGGGCATAAATCTCTCGATGTCAGAAGTAAGGACTCGATAGAAGAGTTTCTCATTCCTGTCTTGTAATGTCATCAGGATAATATACCTGCAAGGATAAATATATTATAGAAGATCAAAAATATCTACTCAAGATGTTCAGTTGTTTAGGCTGAGCGTGGAGTAAAAACATGTGACTCATATAGTGCTGAAGGGTCACTTAATGGCAAAATTGCCATTCATGGCTGGGCATTGAGATCCTAGCCATCCTACTGACATAAAAAAGAAGGTTATTGCAAAAAGGAATAGGAATGTAGGATTGTAAATCTGGAAAAGTAAATGCCGTGTGTTGTCATTTGCATATTTTACAGGGCATTCTGGAAGAGTTATGCAAAACCAATCCTTCTGGCCTGCTAGATCAGAGCTATGTTTCTGAAATGTGCTTTATGTTATGGAACTGTCATACAGCAGTTTATAGAAAGATTTTCCTAAAGAAGATGGACGTCTCTGTCACCTTTTTAAATCTCACCACTGCAATACTGCATACTTTCTCCTGTTGGCTATGATCCTAGTACATAGGGAGCTACATTTTTGGTTAAGTGTGGATGTTACTTGGAGATACTCCTTAAATATCATCTGGAGGAGGGTAATTTCTCGGTAGAAGATGAAAGTAGTACATGTGAATTATGATAATTTTACTTACTTGTCCAGATCACTGGATTTCGTCTCATAGCTCTTCAAAACACGAAGGGCTTGCACGTCTTGACTCAGGAAACAAG